ATTATGAAATCCCACGCAATGGTAACAATGGAAAGAAAGTGGAACTGCCGCCACGATTTGTTTCGCAGTTAAAATAATTTCTAAAATTTTAAAAACTATTTTTACTGGAAAGATCACAACCTAATTTAAATGCCCTACAATTTTCACGATTTTTAACGCCTTCCAACATAAAAATTTCCAATAATTAAATAATCATTCTATAGTATAATTACATTCTAAATTTCAAATTTTCATTCCATCTTAAAAAATGTTATTCCAATTTTAAAATTTTCCACCTTACTTCAAAACTTACCTTCCAAGAATGGGGTATCCCTTCTTATTTGAACTGGATGCTAGAGATGGAATGAAAGTCTGAATGAGTTCATAAAATATTTTAATTGGACTGTTATTCTAAGTAAGGATTTTCAGTCATAAATAGGTTAATCCAATCTAAATTAGAAAATATTTGTTGTAAAAGAATGAAATTTTAATTAAAACATTTCATAAACTCGTCCAGACTTTCATTCCATTTTGAACAAATAGATGTAGTTGGAAGGGAAAACTCATATTTAGACGGGAACTTATCAAGTAAAACTGAAAATTTTAGGATTGGACGAACATTAGAATGATAAGTTATAAATATGAAAGTTTTTTTTTTATAAAATAAATTTTTAATTTTAATTTCACTAAAGTTAGGATACTTTTCCGTTGGTCCGCACGTCGAGGAGTGACAAAAATGAAAAATGCACTGAATTGTTGGGATGACCATTTCAACATCAATTTTTTACATATATATTTTCTTCAAATATTTTTCCTTAAAAAATCAGTATCTAATCTTATGGCTCTCCAATTTTTTAGATTTTAAATGTATTTTTTTGAGCTGGAAAAATCACTAAATTTAAGGTAGTGTTTTCGTTGGCCCACACATCGTAAAGTGGTAAAAATGAAAAATAAACCGAATTGACACGCCAACTATTTCAGCGTATATATATATATATATATATCGTCACAAATAAATATATATATATAGGTTGTTTTTTCGGGTGCCCGGATACACGCCCGGGTGTGCGGCTGGGCATGACCCTCGGGTAGGGTTTCGGGTAGCCCCCCCCCCCTCCGAAAAAAAAAAAAACAAAGTAAAAAACTTCCAGAAAAAAATATGTTGTGTAGAATTGCAATGCAAACAACGTTTGGCTGAGGGTCAAATCAGAATTCGTCATCGAATCGGAGATAAAAAAGAAAATGACAAAATCACGCTAAGGGACCCCCTTTTAAATACCCTTAACCCCTTTAAAAACAATTTGTATCCCTTTCCCCCTCCCCTTAACAACCAACTCTCAAAAAATGAAAAGAGTCTGGATTTGGGATCCTCTGGGAGAGCACAGAAAAACAAATAAAATAAAACAAAAAATATTATTATTATTACTTTTTGCACGCTCAGGTACCCGGGCGTCAAACCCTCCCAAGCATCACACTCGGGTACCGGAATGGGCATGAAAATCTTCCTATACATATATACAGGTAATCAAACTTCGGTATGGACCAAACGCATGAACCCAAATGCCCGAATGTACGGGACCCCTTGGGGATGCGTTCGGCCTGAGCATTAGATTCAAACTCCATACCAAATTTAAAATAAAAATAAAATACAGAAAATAAAACTAATAATAAAAATAAGAAAAAATAAAAAGATAATTAAAATTAGTGAATGAGAAAACATGTTTTCGACACCACCATCTTTGGCAAATTTTTATTTTTTTTTGGCACAACCAAATGCCCTAAAAATTTACAGGTGTGTTCTTCATATAAATAAAAGACATATTAAAATTTTTTCAAAAAATAACAATTTTTTTATGCCCCGCAATAAAGTGAAAATAAAAAGTAAAAAGGGAAACAAAATAAAATAGTGACTGGGCGAGCATGATTTTAACAACCATCTTTGGCGATTTTGTATTTTTTTTTTGCTTAGAAAAACGACTTCAAAATTTATAGGCATGTACCTCACATGATACTAAACTCACAAAAACAAAATCGGAAAAAAACTAGGCTACCAGAGTGGCCCGAGGTCACTTTCCCGGTCGGGCAAAAAAACATTAAAATTAATAAAATTATTTTTTAATTTTATTTTTTAACGCCTTCGGGTTCGGACCCTGAACGGGACCCCAATGTAACTACATACGGAGGTCGGTCCGGGGACCTCCGTACATACGGGCTGGTGAACCTATATATATGCATATTTATATTGTTTCTATGAATACCACAACCTAATCTACTGGTTCCCAAATTTTCAGATTTTTCTGATTATTATTTTAAGCGAGAAAAATCGTTAAAGTTAGGATATTTTTTAGTTGCGGGATTGGACTTCCCATCAACCACTAGCCGCAACCGTTCCAAAAAAATTGGCCCTAACTCACTCGAGGCAGGTTTTTGGGTCGCGAGGGGACTAGTGGCTTAAGACTGACCCGTGTATGTTGCGTACCAGGGTGCTGATCTCCCGATTGGACTTCTGAATCAGGTCGACTTTTCTGGGCAGTCTCCGACTCTCGAGATAATCCCAATACCACCAAGAATTCTCAACTATTTTCCACCAGTCTCATTGGTTAGATGAGACTTAAAGGGTTAAACGTTATGATTCGATTTTGTTGAGCAAGATTTTGACTGTTGGTTTAAACGACAGATTTAACCTTTCCTTACATGAAGCCCTAATCAGACCTAAGCTCAAGTGATCATGATACTCTAAAATGCTTAGATCAAGTATAATTATATGTATTAGGGGTATAACGATGAATGAGCGGTATATCTTACTTTTCGTAATTGCAACACACCCAGTCTGTATTCCCAGATGGCAGTCCACTCTCAATTTGACTACCAGACAAAATTTATGACCCATACCTGCACCAGTGCAAGCACCACATACACACGCACAAATGCATTACACACGTAAACTTTGGATCTATTCATGACTTGTCCCCTACTTCCCAGAACCCATGGACATAATCCATTTCTGAACCTTAACCGCTTTGCCCAACCCCTACACTAGATTCAAAGTCATTTGAGAGTGACCATGACTATTCAAGCTCAGACCAAGTGAAAAAAAATTCATCAATCCCTTTGGTTTTGTTTTTAGGTGTGGTGTCGGGGCATAAACCTTGCCAAGCGTATATGCCCAATATTTTTAAATGTCGGATGATGTCCGACTTCGGTAAACGTTGCCTGGGCTTCACAACTTGATGAGACCAGATTATCTGCCAAAAGTTTACTCAAATCTGACCTATGAGGAAAAGGTCCACAAAATTTTATTGAAGACGAGTCTGGACGCTTGGTGATGTCTGAAAGTGGTAGGTGATCATCGATACTGCGGATGTATTCAAGTTGTGGTGCAACCACTAGAACAAGCGGTCGTTGGAATATTATTTTTTCGACCAATCCTACTTATCGCTCTTACGCCACGTGATTCGGAGTCTGGGTGACTGTAGTCCAGAAGGAATGAACCACCCAATTTTCTAAGTTATTTTATCTACAATTTGGTCTAAAAACCTCCCCAATTAGCAATAAATCTTGAAGAGTGCGTTTGTTGGGGTTTGGTGCTGGGTGTATGACCTGAAAACTTAACAATATGGCCTAATAGGCTAGGCACCCTTTGGTTTGAGGACGGGTGACCAGCCTTGTGAGTAGTGGGAGTAGGCAGAGCCTGCTAGGCTACGAACAAGTTGGGCCGCAATAACACATGTTGTTGATGAACAAGAGTCACCTTACTTCATACGAGGTAGGAGCCAACCCAATAGGCGGTAGGTATTAGGATCGAATCTGAATGGGCCTACCTGGGCCAACTCCTTTTGGTAAGGGCATCCCGAACGATCTTGATAAGCACCTCGCAATTTCAACCACGCGATCTTTGAGATCCTGCGACCGAAAACGTTGCGTGAAGGGAAAATCAGCACGGCCGCCGTTCAGTGATAATAGTTTTTTTAATTCAATCAGAGTCCGAGAGCTCCTCACACTCTAGGAAACATTTGTGGCGGGGGCTCGTTGGTTTAGGAGTCAACCTAATTATTGACCCAGAGTGGACCGTTTCTTTGGGGGTGTACTTTGCCGTTTCGGTGGAGACGGCTGATTTTTGAGATCCAAGTCTTGTACTCGGGTAAGGAAGAGGGGTACCCCAAACCACTTCCTAGAGGGTTGGACGTGTGACTACTGAGGGAAGGCTTTAGCGTTTCCCTAATCTCGCGCAGAAGGGGGTTGACTTAGCAACCCATAAAGGTGACCGTTGTCGAGCGCATCAGTCCCGCAAGGGGACCCTCCCGCCCACGTCACACAAAATTTTGCAAGATTTTTGTCGCGGTGGAGCTTTCACCGCTCCATCACTCCATCGGTGTCGGTAGTTGGCTTCGATCTCTAGATCTGTAGGTTGAAAGTCAGTTGCTCCAACCAATAGTTCTAAGCCTAAGGTTGGTATTAGTGGCAACACAAACCCATATAAATGGGTGCGGTGTGGTGAGTGAGCCTATTGGAACACATGAAGGCCACACCTTCTCCTACCATTCGGACCCATGACCGTTGAATGTTGACGCTTGTTGCACGAAAGCATGGTTCTACCCATGGCCCTGCACGCACACCATTCATATACACCAAATTGAGGCCGATGGTTGCTCGCACCCTCTAAACCAACCATAGTAGCCTCTCTCCTCACGAAACTTGCTCAATGCAACTGCAAACGTGTCTCGAAATAAAGTCAAAGGTAATCTCCTTAATGCTCAGCACCGGTAACTGGACCTGACGCCTGCTAGTATAACGCCGCCGCCTCCACGTGAGCGCACACGCATAACGGTCATGCGTACCAATTAAAGAAAACGATCACTAAGTCCTAATTTAATCGCAAACAAAAAAGTTGGTCGGCAGATGCGCCGACTTTATAACAACAATAAGAAACATCACAGGCGCCTTAAAAATCGCTCTCTCTCACATCCAGGGATGACGGGGTAGTCGCAAGTTCTCGAATTGATTTTGAGAATTACGTTGTCGAGCTGGTCCCACTGTTGAACGAGCCTCTCCACGTGCAAAGATTCAAGTGCATGCGCAGTAGTTCCGCCGTCGGACAACGAACCGGTTGCTTCGCCAGCCCTTCTATCGGAGGATCCGTCAACTTGGGCGAGTCTTGATGGTTGCCTCTTCCCTCCACCGGTTCTTTGCTAACACTGCATTGCAATGCCTTAATGGCACATTTGCGTAAATACTTGCACGAGGCATGTACCACCTCCGTCGATGGACGACGGAGTAGCGGTTGTTGATCTTCGTAACTATCTCGCGAAGATCGACCGCGAGTACGCAACGCAATGGTACGTTGACATCGACGCGCCACTCCTCTACATCCGCATTCAGATTAGAAAGGCGACCTGCAGTGCCGTGATCGATTGTGGAGCGACTCACGACTACATCAGCCAAGACTTCATGGCACACGCCGGGCTAGGCCCACGCGTTCGAAGGAAAAGTCAGCCTACGCACGTCACGTTGGGCGATGGTCACACGCAAAAGTCAATCGACCGATGCGTTGACTTGGTGCCCCTGTACTTTGCCCCGCTAGCATGCGAGGCCGTGTCTTTCGACATATTGGACACCAAGTTCAATATGATCTTAGGCATGTCGTGGCTGCAAAGCAAAGACCATCCGGTGAACTTCTATCGACGCACCGTTCACGTTTACGATCGGCGTGGCGAACTAGTCTCGTGTACTGTGCCGCTTCCTCATCCTTCGATTGGTTGTCACGTGGTATCTGCGGCAAGCATTCGCCAATCCATCCGACGGAACGACATCGAGGAGATGGGCATATGTTTTCTTCACGCCCTCCCACTCGGTGATCAGCCCAAGACGGATACATCGGACCCACGCATCAGTGAGCTGTTGGACAGCTATGAGGATGTCTTCCAAGCTCCCGCCGGAGTAGTACCGGATCGGCCCATACGCCATAGGATCACTCTCGAGGACGGCGCCGTACCTTCGCGCGGATGTATTTACCGCATGAGCGAAGAGGAGCTTCAAGTGCTTCGGGCACAGCTAGACAACCTCTTGGCCAAGGGCTGGATTCACCCTAGCTGTTCGCCATACGGTGCTCCCGTTCTCTTCGTCCAGAAAAAGAACAAGGACCTTCGTTTGTGCAACGACTATCAAAAACGTAACGCGCAAACGATCAAGAACGCCGGCCCTCTCCCTCGGATCGATGATCTTCTCGAGCGACTAGGCGGCGCCAAATACTTCTCGAAGCTTGACCTCAAATCCAACTACCACTAGATCGAGATCCAGCCAAGAGATAGGTACAAGACAACGTTTAAGACGCGATATGGGCACTTTGAGTGGATCGTCATGCCTTTCAGTCTCACCAATGCCCCGACTACTTTCCAAGCGGCTATGACAACAGAATTCCGCGACTTGCTCGACCGCACCGTACTCATTTACCTTGATGATATCTTGGTTTATAGCCGGACGCTAGACGAGCACCTCGAGCACCTTCGCGCCGTTTTGGAGCTGCTCCGTATCACCAAGTACAAGGCAAACCGCGGCAAGTGCGAGTTTGTCCAACAAGAGTTGGAGTACTTAGGCCACTACGTTACGCCACAAGGCATTCGTCCTCTTGCGGACAAAGTACAAGCCATTCAAATTGGCCGGACCTCAAGTGTATTATCGATGTCCGCTCCTTTCTTGGCTTAGCATCATACTACATGCGGTTTGTCAAAGGTTTTCAACGGATCGCTGCACCATTGTCAGGACTTCAGTCCCCCTTGGTGCCCTTCGAGTTCAACAACGAATCCCGACACGCGTTCCATACGCTGAAAACGACTTTGCTCCAAGCTCCCGTCTTAAGCATCTATGACCCGACCTTGCCTACCAAAGTGACTACGAACGCTTTCGGCTATGGCATTGGCGCGGTTTTGGAACAGCATGACGGCACAGACTGGCATCCGGTTGAGTACTTCAGCCAAAAGGTGCCGCCCATCAATACACTTGATGATGCGAGGAAGAAGGAACTGCTAGCTTTTGTCACTGTACTTCAAGTTAAGCGTTGGTGTCACTTTCTCCTCGGGCGTCGGCGATTCACGTGGGCAACGACCAACAATCCGTTGACGTATTACAAGATGCAAGACATGGTGAGCAGCACGATCAGTCGATGGATGTACTTCATTGACCAGTTCGACTTCACCTCCAAGCACATTCCGGGCTCCTCGAACAAGGCAGCGGATGATCTCTCGCGAAGACCTGATCTTTGTGCCTTGGTGCACTCCATATTCGGCCTCGACGAGAACCTGCAACAGCATTTCGTAAACGGATCCAAGTCGGATCCGAGATTCTCCGCACTCTATGCGGACTTATCATCGGACCAACCGCCGACAAGCAATTATCGCATTGTCGACGGCTACTTGCTTCTCCATACACGAGGCAAGGACTTGTTGTGTGTTCCCCAAGACCGCATCTTGCACACTCGCCTCCTTGGCGAATACCACGATTCGCGACTGGCGGGACACCTTGGTGGTGCGTGCTCCGCCAGCGATTTCACTGGCCGGACATCATCAACGACGTCAACCGGTACATTCAGTCATGTGCAGTTTGCCACCGGAACAAAGGGCGCCATCAGCTCCCGTACGGTGAACTGAAACCATTGCCGATTCCTCGGGAACCGGGTCTCTCCATTGCTATGGATGTGACCGGCCCTTTCTCTGGCGATCGCCTTGGCCACGACGGTATTCTCACGGTCGTTGACCATTTGAGCAAGTACGCTCGATTTCTTCCATGCAAGTATCATGCGACGGCTCCCGAGCTCGCACGACTTTTGCATACCGGCTGGTTTTGCAGCCATGACGTTCAGGAAGACATCGTCAACGACCGCCGCACTCGTTTCATGTCGGCCTTTTGGATGACACTCATGGTGGAATCCGACACCAGCATGAAACCGAGTTCCGCACAACATCCTCAAACGGATGGGCAAATGGAACGTGCGCACCAGACTGCGCAGATGATGCTCCGCCCACTCATCCGCCCGGATCAGAAGGACTGGGTTGACCGCCTTCCCGACATCGAGTTCGCCTACAACACTTCGGTGCACCCGGCGATTGGCGTGACTCCATTTGAGTTGCATCACGGTGGACGGAAAGGACGTATCTTCGCAGACATCTTGCTTCCACGGGCTGCCGATATCGACGCCGCTTGCTCCCCCGCTTCTACACGGAAGTACAGGGAACTGCTGGCCGAAGCCCGCGCAAACATGCAAAAGGCTCAGGTCCGTATGCAGCAGCGAACCGACGTCGCATCCCATGTCCAATCAGTGCCGGCGACCTAGTATGGGTCACCTCCGAGGAATTTGCGCTCGAGCAGCACGTCTCGCGCAAGCTCCTCCCCAAGTGGTTTGGACCATGGAAGGTCACTTCACCAGCTGGCGACGACCCAGCGGGTCCATCTTTCATCATTGAGATTCCCCCGCATTTGACGGTCCACCTGATATTTCATGCTTCAAAGCTGGCGGTCTACACTCCAGCCTCCGCAGCGGACTTCCCGGGCAGACGGTCACAGGACCCTCCTTCAATGGATGGTCATCAGGAGGTCGACCGCGTCCTCGCTCATCGCAAGCACTACAACAAACCAATGCAGTACAAAGTTACATTTAAGCAATGCGATCCCGACGGCACACGCTGGATTTCACGAGCTGACCTGAAGGCGACAACACCCCTCGTCTTCGCGCATTACGAAAAACAGCGACTTGCTAAGGAAGCTGCCCAACCTGCCCGCCCTGTACGGACATCGGACAGACAGCTTCGCCCTCGCAGTTAGCTCGGTCTTCAAGGGGGGCAGCGTGTGGCATTCTGAGCCACACGGGCCCCAGTTAGGGCCCGGTTCCAAATAGGCAGGGTAGGCCTAAGGGACGACGGTTCAGATGAGGCCCAGATAGGCCAGGACCACGGCGGTTCAGGCAGGCCAGGGGTAGAGGCCCAGGCCAAACGACCACAAGGCCGTTACCGGTCCAGCATAGGACCTACCAGCGGTGCTGCAGAGGCTGCCGCATTTAGGTACCAAGTCCAGTTTGAATCTGGACTGTTGATCAGATCAACGGTCCAGGCCGGTAGGTACCAGCAGGTAGGAGGCCGACCCAGCACTACAAAAGGCTGGGTACCAGCCTCAGTAGGAAGGTTAGAAGTTAGTGAGGTTGGAGTTAGTCTTCAGGATTAGCGCAGCCTTGCAGCGTTAGCGCGAGCGGCGAGGAGAAGACGAGCGCAGCAGCGAGAAGGAACAGCGCAGCGTCCCTGCCGCGCCATAGCTACCGGATCAGGTACCGGGGAGGAAGGCTTTGCCTTCTCTCCCTCTGTTCCTCCGCCCCCCCTGCTCTCTCTCTCTCTCTCTCTCTCTCTCTCTCTCCTCCTACCGTCTCAGTCTAAGTCTACTTCTGGGTTTTCCTACGGGACTACTATAGGTATGAAGGATGGTTACGAATTCTGATAACATTGGAGATAGTGACATTGGGACTATAGGTTGAGGACTACTTGTGGGATCTGATTTCATCTGCCTCTGGAGATGTACTTGACATTGTGAGATCGACATCTGAGACATTGTGGGACACTGTATTCGCGACATTTCGGATTTCCGCCATCTCTGGCATTTCAAGATACTATCTTTGGAAACATTGAGTTGACGTCATCTTCCCTCTCCTCTTCCCTTCGTCTCTCTCCTCCCTCCATTCGTCCGTGGATGATCTCAGACCCTGGCCTTTCATCTGTGTCCAAGGCCAGGAGTTTCACACCCCTGATGAATGATTGAGAGTGTTCGATTGCAGTCCGAGTCAGGTCAGAGTCAGTCCATGTATCTCAAGTCTTCTGCTGTATTTGTATTTATTCTGTATTATCTGGTTGGTTCTGGGAATCTGCGCCATACTTATGACTGTGTTTCACGAGTATGCAACAGTGACACTGTGGGTCATTTGGAAGGAAAGATGCGGCAGAACCATTGAAGGCCTCTCCAATCCGTGAGAAAAGGTGTGGACGGAACAAAAACTTTATTGCAGGCAGAAATCCGGAGCAGGTGGTTGAGGCAGAAGCGGTCGTTGCCGGAGGACGAGGACCTACAAGATAAGGCCAGAAAGAGATTCAGCAGGCTATGGTTGGTGGAAGGCAAGGTGGCGGAACTTCAAGATGATAGGCTACTCTGGAAAGACTGGCATAATTCAGAATCCAGTGGGAGGAATCAGATGGCAACAGTATTGGAAAGACATCTGAGCTAAGCGAAACATGGTGCACCTAAAGAGGAAATAATACCTCCTAAGCGAGGGGTAGGGTTTAGGGTTTTTAGTACAAATCAAAAGAAGGGGGAAGGCTTAAGGGGATAGGGGATACCGTGACTTACGGGCAGGGCTGATGAATGGGGAAGCACAGGCAAGAAGAAATAATGGGAGATCTCTTTCTTGGTAATATAGTACTACCTTGGCAGAGCTGGTTTTTCAGGTCTGAGAGGAAAGAGTGAGTCATGGCAAGCTGACAGTCAATCCTCTACCAATGGTGGAGTAATCAATGCTGTTCAGGGGTCCTTCGGCCAAACGGGAGGAAGCGTGCTGTAATGTGATGTGTTTTCTAACTTGCCGGTGGAATAGGAACCGGATTGATGCTCCCCAGAATAGAAGGAGCCAGGACCATAACAAAAAAAAAAACGAAAAAAAAAAAGAAGTGTAATGACCTGTCCTTTGGGACATCATTAAAATTGGAGCGATACAGAGAAGATTAGCATGGCCCCTGCACAAGAATGACACACGCATAAATCGAGAAGTGGTCCAAAATTAAAAAAAAACTAAAAAACAAAAAAGAACTAGAAGTGTAATGACCTGCAAAAACACAGACTGAGAACACTGCTGATTTCTGAGTTCTGCTGCTGGAAATGCGTGCCTTGCTGAGATTCCTGCTTTCTGCTGAGTTTTCCAAGTCTKTGTGTGTGCGTGCTTGCTGGTTTCCGTGTGCCTGTCTGAGTGCATGTCTGCCTGAGTGTGTGTGTGTGACCCGCCAGGGCACTCGATTCTCTGGGAGGCCCTTGGGGCTGGTGCTTACCTGTGGCAAGACATTCTTTATTTTGAATATTTTATTATTTTCTTTTCGAAGCTGTGTTCGTTGGCTTGACTGCAAACATACTAACACTACGACGTTTTCAATGGAGCTCTGGACGTAATTGCAGTCAGATACCTCCAGGTCAAGGTGGTATTCCGGTCAGACACATCCAGGAAAGTCCTGGTGCGGGTACGCCTTGAGGGAATCGACCCTGAGGATGACGTTCAATATTTCTTTTGTTTCTCAGCCCACCCATCTTCTAACTGTCCGAAATCCAAAAATTTCAGAGAAGAAAGAACAAGCAGTTGTAATGACCCGCCAAAAACACAGACTGAGAACACTGCTGATTTCTGGGATTTGCCACCGGAATGAATGCCTTGCTGTGATTCCCGCTTTCTGCTGTGGTTTCCAAGTCTGTGTGTGTGTGCGTGCCTGCTGGTTTGCATGCCTGTCTCAGTGCTTGTCCGTTGAGTGTGTGTGTGACCTGCAAGGGTACTTGTTGGTTGCAAGGCCCCGCAGGGCCGGTACTTACCTGTGGCCGTGACGTTGAGGGTTGCAGGGGGTTAAACAGTACTAAAAACTCAAGTAGCGGGGGTAGGCCCGCGACACTTAGAGCAGCGGGGAAAAACACTCAAGTAGCAGGTAGGCCGGTACCACTCGAGTAGTGGTAGGAGTGTCGGGTACTGGAGGCCGAGCAGAAGAAGACAAAAAGTTGGCATTTTTAGAGGCCCAGTAGCGGTAGGATAGAGGTAGGCCGGTACCAGTCCAAGTAGCCCGGGTCTAGGGCCTGTCCGGAGGTTAGCAGAGCCTGCAATGATGTTTCCCTGCGAAAGGGAGGAGGCACCGGTTGCTGGGAGGCCGCTCGGCCTAGGAAGTCACCGCCCAGGAGGCCAGTAGGCCGCTATATCTTTAGGAGGAGCAAGTAGCTCCTCCTCATTTGTGGTATGCAAGGATTGGCGACATGCTGCTGGAGCACAGTGTAGGCAGCTGGAGCTCAGCCTGGCTATGGCGAGCAGTCCAGCTTGAGGAGGAGGAAGAAGGGGGCTAAGGAGGAGAGTGGCGAGGCACCTATGTTATGAACATGATTGTCTGCCGAAATTTTATCAGCACTCACTCGCAGGAACTCGCGTACACGCCCATACATGCACAGAAGGAAGGGGAGAGGTAGTGGAGTATCACACCGCCCAACAGGAAGAAACGCAGCGGAAGACTCAGGGGAGCTAAGTGACAAAATACACAGACAGTGAATTCTCTCCACACAATTCCCAACAATCATTCATAGAAGACAACCGAGTGATCACAGCCAGAAAACAATGAAGAGATGATAATTCAAACACAGTATTGCAACTGTTTATTAAACTCAGAGCACCGTTTTCACTGAATGACCTCAGAACCCTGTTGCGCTACCCTCAGAGGGGTAGTGCCTCAACCCCAACACCCTGAACAGCTAAAAATAGCACCGAAACCCCAGGTAACACCCAGCGCCACCCTGACATGCAACTCAGTGGCCTGCGCCCAAGTGAAATAGGCTCCCAGAGCCATCCGCCATCCAGATGATGAAGAAGAAGCTCAGCGCCAACAGTCCCTGATGAAGATGAAGCCCAGGCGATGATATCTTTGAGAAGATGCAGTTATGGCTGCATCGCCACTGGGACCCTACTCCTGAGGAGGGTCAGCAGTGCACCACGTGCTCCAACGCATCAGACCTCAGATAGCCCAGACCGCTATGACTCTCAGAGAGTCAGAGTGGACAGCGTTGACCCCAGTCTGGTCAACGCTCCAAAGGTCTGGTTATGTCCGCTCTGTCCACACCGGAATCAGCAACCACGAACTGAAGTGTCAACTGCCAAAAGCCCTGGACCGGTGTCCCCATCCTACCTATACTCTACGCTAGCCTAGACCGACCTAGACCGGACTGACTGACCGACCGGTACCGTTTCAGTTTCGGCCTCTAGGGCCTCTCCCTACCCGACTATAGGCTATAGGACCGTCTATCAGCGTAGGCCCATAGGGCCTGTCTGTCCTAGGGGTAGCCCGGGTCTGCTATTCGCAATTAGGGTAGCTGTAGGGAAATCGAGTTAGTACGGGGCCCATATTTCTATATTTACAAATATGTCCCTCACAAATTTCCATGCAGGCAGGTCTCTCGGTTAGTCGTCAGCCAAACAAAATTACGAATCTGTCCCTACCTAAA